ATTGTTGCTATCTGCTTATTTCTGGTATTTTTGTCCCTGGATCTGAATAGTTTATTCTCATGCATGCATAGATCACTTCTCAGGTAAAGATTCAAAGACACTCATTTATAGACCTCCAAGGCTCTGTCTGTGTGATTCTCCTTCCTCTCCTCTGTTCTGTGAATTCTAGCTCTCTTGGCTCTCCTACACTCTAATCTCTGTCTCCTCAACATGAAACAATACTCTGTGTTCCCCTCCCTTTGCTACAGCCTTGGAACTGCTCTAAGTAATCTAGATAATCATAAGGATCACACAGTTTGTTACATTCCTGTGCTACCTATTTTCCAGTGCCTAAGAAACATTATTTTAGTTTAAAATAGGAGAATACATCTTACTCCATCATGAATACAGCAGAAGTTCTGATTCCTTACATTTTACATACAAGTCTCATTCTTAATGTTATTTTACTTTCTTATCTACATTTTTCCTATTCTCTAATTTTCTAATGAACAGAAATTTTGTTTATTATATAATATTACTTATTTCACCAATTAAATATTTACCGTTTAAAGGGGATTGTGGAAAAACAGAAACGTAAGTTCTAATACTGAAATTTCATTTTCATCTAAACCAGTAATTCTTAAGTTTCCTCAGGCCACTAAACATATGTTTACCAAACATAAATAAAGAAAATGTATACTTACTAAGTTCTTTCCTTAAGTGTAGGATTGACAATAGACCTAACAGTAAAGTGATTAAATGAAAAATTCCTTCTCAGTTTCTAATCAACCTAATATTCTTCTCTATATTATCTGTATCTTCAACTTCTAACTATACCAGCTTCCTGACATTGCTATCACAGAAAACAGAAAATTTTTAAAGAAAATCCTGAGTTAAGTTTGAAAATAAAATGATTTTTATTTTTCTTTGACTATAACAAAATCTTTGGTATAGTATATTGAGGTTGAAAGGATACTAGGAATTAGAAGCTGTGAGAATTTTTCAAATATACTGCCCACAGTATATTTGAGCAAATATGCTGTGAGCAGTATATTTGCAACAAAACCCATTTTTAACCATTTAACAATGGTAATATTGTAAAACACCCTTCATTCTTTTAAATTCTTAGGTTGTAAAAGTTAAGGGCCATATCTATGTAGTATTTGTCAGATAGCATCAAGTACAATATCACACTCAATTAAGTGCTCAATAGTGCTTTTTGATGAGCAGGATTATAATGACTTTCTAAACAAGGTCTATCAATCTCAATGGAATAGAGAAAGTGATGGGCATTTGAAAGCTAATGTCACCCATATTTCTAAGCTGTGAGAGATAACTACACACTGCCTATATTTAGGCCTTTGGCTTTTTCTCTTTTTTTTTTTTCAGTTTGAGTTTCTTTACATTATCTTTTTCCCTATTTTTTTTTCTTTTTCATAGAATTGCATACTTCTGGTCTACACAAAAGGAAAATGCATTTTTATCTCACTCTATTATTAACCTTTTCTGTCTTATATTAAAATGTTGGGCTATCCTTTGTTTTCTCTGTTGGAATTATTCAGATAAACTCAGAGCTTACCTTTTGTATACAACATCATAAGATTAAATTATTCTTCAATATTTTCATGAACTAATATATAGTAACCAAACCAAATCATCCATCAGAAGGCATACTAAGAATTTTAAAATCACAGTATAATTTAACTGTGTACATTAGAACATAAAAAATTTATAAAAATGTAATTTCATTCTTGTGAAATATCAGCTATACATACTCTAGTCCTACACCACATATTTTCTTAGTCCTCTGTACAGGCATCCAATCATTACATTTATGGTACATTTGAAGATATGGTATAGTGGTTAAGCTCACAGAATCTGGAGCCAGAACCACAAGGCATGTGATTGTGAGCACATTATTTAATATTTCTGTACCTCAGTTCCTTAACTGTGTAAAATGGGAATATTAACAAAACTTACTTCATAGGATTAAGAAGAAAAAGTGTTGAAAATAATAGTATCCACCACATGAAATTGTGAAAATTGAAGACCTTATAACTACCTCACAGTTATTAAGCCTCCAGTAATTGCTGACTATCATTGTCATCTTCATTATCATCATAATTATTACCCCAAGAATCTTGAATTTCTTGCTAAGAACCGGCCTTTGTCTTATTTTTTCCATTTCACACTCTTTGTGTCAGACACAGTGTCTGGCAAATAGTATGAATTCAGGAATAATTTTAATTCTTATAAATTGTGTTGTTTCAGTCAGTGGGTGGATGGATGGAATTTTGCTGGGGACCCCTAGCCCAGTGGCTTGGTTACTCAGGGGCAGTAGAGAAGATGTGAATTGCCTTTGGATCTACAAATATTACCTACTCTGAGACAGCCTGAATATGTCCTAATTAGCAAGTACGGTTTCTATCTTGCCCTTGTTTTTCTCCCAGACTCTGAGTATGTTTAGTTGATAATGATTCCATTGCTCATCTCTGGGTGCAATGGTGTACCTAAGAAGAGAGATGCCATGTCATCATAAAAGCGAATGCCTCCTTCCTCAACACACCTGGGCTGCCCTTGCAGGTTTCCCCAGCCACCCCAGCTCACTATGGTGAACTCTCCCATATTCAGGTGCTCAAATTTTATAAAACCTTCATTATTCCCTCATACACATAAATATAGACAATTCCTATCATGTCTTGAATATGCTATATGGGTGGATCCCTAAGATAATAATACTAAGTATTAATTTTCCAAACATATTAGTTTAGAATCAATAAGAGAAACAAGGTACTATCAATGAAGAATGGATTTTTATTATTTAATTCATAGTGTACAAGACCCCTGAAAGTTAAAAACAAAACTTGCAGAACTTAAATCCTGCTAATATTAAATTATATTTAAATTGAAGATGCCACTAAAACTATTTCTCTTTCATTCTGAATTCATGGATCATACTTTATTCCAAACCATGAGCTACTAACAGTTTTAATGGACTACAACAAAACTATTAACTTTGATACTTCTTTGAAATTCCAGGCATGAATTCTTAAAGGAAACTTTAAGAACTACAAACTTAACTTAAAAATGATTCTCTTAATTTTAAGGACTGAGAGATTCATTAGCAAACAAAGCTTGTCTACTCAGTAGAAAATGTAAGAGGAAAGTTGGAGCAATGCTGGGTTAAAGAAGAAAATATCTGTCCCCTTCCCCAAATCACTGCAGCAGGTTGTAAATGATGTATGAAATGACAAATTCCTGCCCAGTGCACAGGAAGAATATAAATACTGCTCTGTAACCACTGCAGTCCTGTGCTATTTGCTAAAATTTTCAGCTTAGGTGAACCCAGAAAAATCTTACCTCATCTATAACTCTCAAAAAGAAATGACCCCAAATGAAATTATATTATTTTACTATATGTGAAATATATAGCATTTTTTTTTTTTTTTTCTTGTTTCTTTTCTTTTTCCCTAGCCTTAAAGACATATTTAATTGTTTCTGAGAAGGTAGTCTGGCAAAATTTTTTTTAAAAATATTTTAAATAAGGAAATGTCAAAACCCATATATTAGATGGAGGATACCAGAAACAGCTTCCAACCTAGAGTCACCGAGACCTGGTTCTAGACACTAGTTTTGTTTGAATCCTGGGTTTTACACTTGCTGCTTGACTTTGCACATTTTAAAAAATTCTCTGAGCTTTAGTCTTTTCCTATGTGAAATAGCGATAACATGTTCCTCACAATTGCAAAGATTGAATGAAATAACGTAAGGCATGAAGTCCCTTGCCTTATTTGACACCAAGTAGGTACTTGTAAACTGACACAAAGTAGGTACTTTGGGTCAATTTTCCTTTCTTTTCATGATGGAGGCACCTGTTCTGCCCTGGAAGGAATACTGCATTTTGAACTGGAAATCTCAAGTTTTGATTTTTCACTGTTTAATTTACTAGACAATTCACTTGACCTTTCTGAGTAGATATTAGCTCATTTGTAATGAAAATGGATATTAGTTTTATCCTACAAAATGTATTAAAATGTACAATTTAAACTAAAATATTAAGTATAAGGTATCATTATTATAATATAAATTAACATAGCTGAATAAAAAGTATAGACGTACATCAGATCCAGGTTTCTATGGATCTGTTCTTCAGAAAGGTGGGTAACTACACTCCTATCTTATGCTAGAATTATGAGAATTTTCTCTTGTAGGTTTCTTCAAGAGCATATTTATTGGAAGTCTGTCACAATAAATTATAAGATGTCCTTAAAATGCAGAGGATGGGCACGTTGGAATTAGATTCTAGGATACCTAGTTTTACATTTAAAATCCAGCTGTAATTTGTCTTTTTCTCTCTGGTTCTCTCTATATCATATGGCTACCCCAATTAATTCTGGAAGTTGATGCTGATTACCTACCCCATGCCAGACTGCCATTCCTCTCCTCAGATACAGGAGATACAAGTCACTTTTGGAAAAACTAAGGCTTAAGGTCCACCACATTTTAAATAACTAAGACTTTGAGAAATTTTTAGAAACTTCTCCCAGTAGATAATGTTGTGGAAAGCAAACTGGGGCAGTGAAAGTAAGCCAGGACACTGATAAATCCACATCAGAGTTCTGCTTTCTAATGAAGTGACATTCCTGTTCAAATGTATAGCTTTATATGTATAAAAATTAGGTGATAACTAGAAGAAAATAACTTTCAAAATCTAATTTAATTCATTTAATACAATCATAAACCAAAGGAAGTAAAAGATGCCAAGAAAAAGAGAAGATATACACCAAGCAATAAAAGGTTTCATTTTCAACTGAGAAAAAAAAAAATTAGTGCTCAGTAAGATTTGAAAAGAGAATGAGGCCAATTCATTTTGATCCTATGGCAATACTTTGAAGCCTACTTTCTAACCTGGTCTATTTTACATTTCCAGATGCTATGAAAGGCAATGTATGCAGAAAGCAACACCAGTGGGGATTTGAGTAGTTCATTTTCCCCGATTGTAGTGATGATTTGGATCTTACTTTTTCTGAAAGCATCTTTAAAGAATTCTTCAAGCTGTCTGGAGAATGCTGGCTTGCAGAATTAAGCAGTAGGTCTGCATGGGTTGCTATAAGAGGTTGTAGTTGATTGATGTTGCTGAGGACTTCTTTTGCTTTGGCTGTGTTTTCAGGTGAATAGTAAATAAACTGGTATCCAGTACTGCAACAACAAGGAGAAAGGCAAGTTACACAAAGAGCAGAAAGAATTTGCAGCCCTTGATATCAGATGGCAAATGATAAAGACAATTCCATGTATCACAATATCCTGTCAAACAAATAAGAACTGTCCTAAGAGATCTTTATGAAGCCCTAGCAATTTTTAAGATGACAAAGACACATTTTTATACGTCAAGTATTAGTATTCAAAATAAATTAGTACCAACCATAATTTCCAATGAACTTGAGGCCACATAGTTCAAAGGGAAAAGTGTCAGCTTTTATACTCAAGTCAATCTCAATTTAAATCCTGGTTTTCCACTTACTTCCTTGATTACTGTGGGAAGCCTCTGCTTTTACATCAGGAAAGTGGAAATAATTATCCAAACAATTCTATGAGATTAGAGATCATTCATATGACATGCTTGGCAGGAGCAAGCACAGAATACCTACTACCTGGAGTTTCCCCGGTGATACTGAGCAAAAAGTGGGAAGGAGTAAATTCTAATAGCCAAGAAATGAGGAGAAAATGAATTAGTGCTAGTGGGCATAGAGATAATTTTACGGGATAAAAAATGACATTTATAATATAAAAATTCCATTATGTTATTTTATCACTGCCCTTTTTGTTCCTTGTGGTTTTCCACCTAACTTATAAAGAAATCTAAAATTGATTATTAATTGAAGCATTATTGACTTTTGTAATCATCATCTAGGAATGGAACAAGCACATTATGGGAATGGGGATGCCTGGAATGACGGAATCTTTGGCCAGTTTCATTAGGAGAGTTGAAGGAGGCATTCCAGCAGGGAAAGCAGTCAAACAGCAAAACATTAGCCAGAAGGAGAGAAGAGGGAGGGCTTGGTGCACGCACAGCTTGGTGCACACTTGCTTGTATCCCATTACACCCAACTGTTGACGCGCTTTTTAACGAAGCCCTGCAGGCCATATTGAGTATTTATTGACTATCCCCCCTACATAATTCCATGTCTCATTTTGAAAAGTCAGAAACCAATAAAAAAATGAATATCTAAGAAGCATTCTCTGCCTTCTTGCTGTTACCCTAATTATTTTTCAGGGGAAATTATCAGAATCTCTAAGGAGACAATACTCTTTTGCAAACATGTAATGGATATTCTGTTCTATTCTTTCTAGTCTATTGATTGATTGACTTTGCAAAATGATTTAAAGAAACGAGCTTGGATGCCGAGGCTACTCAGAAGATAGGACAAGAAGTCAATGAGGGTTGCCAGTTTATAAAGGCTAAGAAATACATTGCTAGTTTGAAGTTTGTGACACCATTACAAGAATTTCCTTTCAATTTCTTGTAGACTTTTAAACATCATAAATGAAGCCTTCAAATAAAACATACCTTAACTACTTATTACATGTATTTTAGCAAATAAAAAATAACAACTGAGAGGAGGAAAAAGAAAAGAATTGCCCATGCCAATTACTTATGTCCCTTTCTGGCTTCATTGTGTGGATGAGACTAAAGATCTCGTGCAGGAGTGTACTAAGGCCTTAATAAATCAAACAACTCTGTGTTATTTGCAAGGGAAATGACTATCTAAAGATATAGACGGGTCACTAGGCTGGGAACAATGATTGACACTCAGCAGCTCTGAGAGCAGAGAGCAGCACCTACTGCTGACCAACCCAGGACATGGTGTGTGGTAGCTGCTCCGTGATCCCTCTTTGCAGGTCTGCTCTTCTGCCAGTGGAGTTTGCTTCCTGATGTCATCTTAGGGGTCCTGGCAGGCCTCCTACAGCCTATCCCTTGGAAAGCTGGGGTGCTCATGGCCATGCGTGGTCTTCGTCTTTCTCTTCACATGACTCCTCTTTCTGACACTCTGACACACTGACACTTTCTCAGACACTCACTCCCACTCGTTCTTTTCTGCTGCTGTCACTCCTGCCTTCCTTCTTTGCTCCAATTATTCTGCCCCAGCAGGTCACTGTTACTTTATTTCCAAATATTACCTATATCCATTGTCTTTGTTACATATTTCTTATTCTGCAAATTCCCTTAGAGTCTCTACTCCATTTGGTTCTAATACATATATTTCTAAAATTTATTTTTCACTTGTTGTTTACTTATATCTAGTTTAATGGTGCTCAAATTTTAGCAGTCATAAGATTCGATTGGGGATGAGGACAGGGCCTAGGGTGTTCAATGAAAAAAATGCAGGCTCCTTAGCAACACCAAGAGATTCTGCTTTACCAGGTTGCAGCATTTATAATAAGCACCTCATGAGATCCTGATTCAGGTGGACAACTGAGCACCTTTAAAGACATTGGCTGCCATTGTTTTGATTCTGGGATCCTCTCTAAGCCTTTGATCATGCTACACAATGACTCTGATTAAAGTTCCTCCATAAGTTATTCTAATTTTCTTAGTACCTTTTACAAATCTACTTTCATATTCCATCTTTATATACAGCACAAGTTGCTTCGGTTTCATTGTCATTCCCAGTGTTTCCTGTCCTAATCTTTTTCATCATTCTTTCATCTTTGCCCTCCCAATATACTCCCATCGCTCCCAAAAACACTCTTCAATCACCATCATGGGATGTAACCCTAACTCCTGCTTTTTGCTCTTAAGTCAGTCTTTTTTTGGAGCAGAGTTATATAGCAGACATTGGTTCTTCTGACAAAGTCTTTTAACGATGAGCATCTTACCTAGTGAGGTTGAAAGATTCATTTTCCACAATAAAAACCAATGTTGGTGTCCAGGATGAAATAGTATGGTATGGAGAAAAAATATCACCAGCCACAAAATAATTTTAAGTATACATAAATTTCATCTACCTCTTCAGTGCCTTACTCTTTAAACATGTCATATATTTTAACAGTTATAGCTTCTTAAATGGAAAGTTATAAGTATAATTTAATTATCTAGATAAAAAGAATATAGCCAAACTCTATTTTATAGTGGTGTGAAGTTTAAACTGAATCCAAACACTTGAGTCAACTATCAATCAGACAAAACTGGAAGAAAGACAAAATATTTGCTTGAACAAAAAAATATTTTATAGATCTAAGCAATACTGCAAATCATGGAAAATGATAATTGAAATTATTTTTATAATATTTTTCTATTGATTAGACAATGAATTGAATTGTACATATGGATATACACATGGATATGTACACTTTAATATATATTTATTACAGTAATTTAATTTATTATATTTAATATCAATTTAATTCGAAAGCACACATCCATCCTCATATGTGGGTTTGTAAATATTGTTACTAGGCATGTCATATTTTGAAGATGTAAAAGAAGATAAAGCACATAGTGAAGTTACATGCATATTCATAAACTCTGCTGACAAATTACAATTAAAACAAGGACTTTCATATTCCTGAGTGTATATTGTCTCAGTCCCTTTTTGCTATCCCTCCTTATTTCCCCACCCTCTAGTGTTGGCGTGCTCTTCCTTTTTTATCTATGTATCCCTCCTAAAGATTCTCATTTAATCTCATGGTTTATATACCCCTGTTGTGTTAATGATTCCTAAATTTATATCTCTAGCCTAGACCATTTCCCTGAACTACAATTAAAAGAAGAGCTGGCCTCTTGACAGCTCCAATTCCACATGTCCCAACCTAAGTTCTTGATACACTCCCCATTTTCCACAGCCAACTCCTTCTGCACCCTTCCCCATCTTAGTTTATAGCAAGTCCCTTTGATGTGGTCTGTGACTCTTCTCTTCTTCTCCTATCTTTTGCCCAATTTTTCAAAAAATCCTGACTTTTCCTTCAAAATATACCCAGAGTCCAGCCATGTTTTCCTACATTCATTGCAATCGCCTTAGTGTAAATCACTATCATTTTCTGCTTCCAGGATTATTGCTATAGCCCTGTCTTCACACTTATCTATTGAGAGGTAAATAATATTCTAAGACAATGAAGTCCTTGACTTATGCTTAGGGTTTGAAGAAGGTAGGAAGTAGGCAAGAAGAGAGCAATAAGGCAGCTCTTCTTTAGCTCCCTGACCATGTCCATGTCTATGTGCACGACCTGTCCATGTCCTGGGAATTTGCTTTGTCACTTCCCCATTCCATTGCTACCTCTACTCCTTTTTTATTTTTTTATTTTTTGAGACAGAGTCTCACTTTGTTGCCCAGGCTAGAGTGAGTGCCATTGCGTCAGCCTAGCTCACAGCAACCTCAAACTCCTGGGCTCAAGCAATCCTGCTGCCTCAGCCTCCTGAGTAGCTGGAACTACAGGCATGCGCCACCATGCCCGGCTAATTATTTCTATATATATTAGTTGGCCAATTCATTTCTTTCTATTTATAGTAGAGATGGGATCTTGCTCTTGCTCAGGCTAGTTTCGAACTCCTGACCTTGAGCAATCTGCCCGCCTCGGCCTCTCAGAGTGTTAGAATTACAGGCGTTAGCCACCGTGCCCGGCCTCCATTGCTACTTCTACTCCTTAACCTGTTTGCTCAACCAAGCTACTACCTTGGGCAATGGAGTTATGGAAAACTATAACTGAGAGGTGATCAATAGGCAAGAAGGGAAAAGGGAAGGAAAAGCTATGGGAGGTGGGGCATGGCCAGAAGGAGATAAGGATTGATGAGTTTAGGATGAAATGCTTTAGAGTAATGTGTCTCTTCTCTTGTGGCAGAATTAAATCTCCAGAGAGGGAAAAAAATATCGAAAAACCATTTCCACTTATTTTTTCATAACTTAAACACTACTCATAAAAAAATAAAAAAGTGGTCTCTTGAATCCAGAGGGAGGGATAGAAATGCTGGCAGCTCTAACTGAGAAAAAAACCATGTGGATAACAAAAGAAAATGTACACCTTAGTGCACTTAAATACACCCTTCTGGTTTCACAGGGCTTAACAATATGCTCTATGGTATTGTAGAAGGTTAAAGCATGATTCTTTCTGCTTTCCCTCATGCATCCTTTCCATTTTCTGCTGGAAGTAGGGCTTGGAGAAAAGAATTAGAAGGAAAATGGTACTTTTTTTTAACCTCCTGT